CTCTAAGAATTTTCTCTCTAACCCCAAAACCCCAAAACCCCAAAACCCCATTCTTTAATATTAGAATTGAGTATTAATAAATAGGGATGTAATATTTGATTTGTTAATAAAATAAGTCATTGAGAGAGTATCGTATCTAACGTGCACGAAGAATATACAAACACTCGCCTGACTCAATTTATAGCCTCTAACCTTGCTCAGTTCTTGTTCTCCTTGGTAAGGGCTATAGAACACAGTTACAATCTCTAAATTTCTTACTTGGTGGGATTGATTGCATGATTTTCTCAGCCTTAACCTTGTCATCTACCTTGAGTGTGAAGAGGTATCTGGATGTTCTGAGCTTGAACTTAGTGATGCCGTTTTTCTTGTTCTTCTTGATAGTGATCTTTTTGGCACTTGGGAGGTTCTTTTGCTCTCTTCTCACAATCTTGATGAATTCCTTCAGATCCTTAATTTCCTTGGGCTATACCGTTGTAAAACCAAGCAACTTACCATTTTATTGTTCCTTTAATTTATATAATAAATACTAAACCTTATTAGACCTTATCTTAAATAGTTAAATAATTTATAATTCCAAATCAATTAAGTTTCACAATCACATATTATCATAAAATGCTAAAACATTAAACAAGGCTTAAGTCTAAAAACAAGCAACAAGAATACTCCTAGTACTAACTTGGTTCCCCTCCACTGAATTCAGAGGATGCTTCAATGTTCTTTCAAATGACATAAGATTCCTCGCCAGATCATTAGTATAATAATAGATAGCTGAAATAAGCTCTTCAGAAAGCTGTTTTTTCGCCACCTTTAGAGAATAGTCGTCAAAACAATCAGAATTTAATTTTGACAGATAACAGTTCAATACTAATCAAGAACAATAGTTCAACAGGTTCAGCAGATATGTTTGCAAAATTACCCTTTGAAAATACTAGTCCATAGCTAAATAATTAAACTTTGAATCAAAGATAGATTAGAAATCCTTTCGTAAATCACAATCTTAATAATCCAAATACTAGTGACTCTAATTCTTCTATGATAAGCACTGAAAGGACTAAACCTCATTAAAATTTGCAATCTAAGTAGCCTAATTAGAAGAAAACTAAGTCTAAGAAATCTAAAAGTCAATCAAATCGGAATAGTTAGACGAGATCATAAAAAACTAAAGACATTTTGACGGGAAAACCTTTAATAAATAAAACTTAACCAGAGGATACATTAATATAAGAGGGAGTGAAGCTTTTATTCTAAAAAAGCAAACCTATTAAAGATCTAAAATCTGGAGGACATCATCTAGCTTAAAGTCTACTTAATAAGCCTGCCATTCCAAGAAGCACCAATAAAACAAGCATTGAGCAAAAAGAGAAAGAGCCAGCACTTAAAAAAGCAAAGACAAGAAGTTCAGTCAACAAAAAGACTTCATTTAGTCTAAAAAGAGCCTAAACACTGCTAGATGAGGAATCTTACAAAGATCAGACAAATATAGTAGTCCCTAATATGAGAAATCTCAATTAGCTTCACTAAAATTTCCATGAATAAAAGAATTCACTCGACTTTTCAGAATACAATGACGAGCTATTTGATGTGAATTAATTACAATCCCAAAATGGATTTAATAATTTTAAACAGCACCAATCCTAATCATCAAATCAGTAGGATTCTCATGAAAATGTAAAATAAACTAGAGCTATCTAAATAATGATATCTTTTATCAAGCATCACTCTAAAGATACAAAAAGACAATATTTTGAAAAGTGGAGATTCAAATCTTTGGCTCAGAGAAGCAGTGTCTAAGTATTGGCTTAGACTAGATGGATAAATGAAGTATAAAGTTAAAGCAGTGTAACAGATTCTGAAGCTCTATAAAAATAGAGAGATTTAGTATTAAGAAAGTGTGTAGGATGCCTGTTTAGATATAGATCTAGAAAGCTTGCTAATTCCTTCGTACAATGGAAGTATCGCACATAATTCACCTAATATATGTAAAACTATTTGAAATACAAGCAGGTAGGACTTGGAAACAATACGATGTCAGAATTCAGCTATCAGCAAAGCAGCCCAATCAATTATCAAATTCAATAATAAATAATGCTTTAATAGTAATAGAAGGTTTTTCAAAATTTGCCTAAAAATAATACATATGTAAATAGATAAAGTAACGGAAATGATTATCCATCAAGTGAATAGGATTAGGAAAATATAAGTGAAGATGAGGATTAAGAGACTTTGTCTAAGTAAAAGAAAATTGGCTTGGTTTAAAATAAGACTGTTGGCCGATCATCCTAAAAATAGTATAACTTTACTAATCCCTAAGCTTAACTTGACTAGCTCCCTTATCAATTTGAGTTGTTTAAGCAGATATTGCAGAGTCCAAATAAAGATTTTGGAAGATTGATGAAGATGACAAGTGAAAACAGCATTCAATATATGAATGATGATATGTTCGGAGATGATTTATCTTCTCGTAGACCTTCTCATCAAAGATAAAATTATCCTAATCAAATTAAACCTTATGCTCTTAACTAATAATTTCAGTACTAGTAAAGGTAGGTAAATGTTCAAGGCACTCTGATTGTGAAAAAGAAACTTGAAGGACAGTTAAGAGAGGTATTTAGAATATGGAGGAGAGAAACTGATATTTACTTAATCAGCGCCGATTATAAAGTTAAGAAGAATGAGTTGCTCGGGTCCTTAAAATATTCAGAACTTTTCTCTAAAATGAAGAATATAAATGATAAAGCTTTGATTAGGCATATACAGGGGGCTTTTAATGCTTGGAAGATTACCACCATAATTGATAAGAAAGCCGAAAATAAGAAGCTGCAATAGTATTTTATGAATAATGCCAAACTTGAAATTTAAAAAAGCAAGGTAGTCCTATAAAAACTCTATCATTAGAAACAATTATATGACTAGTAGCAGCAGATCTAAGAGAGATCAAGATCCTCAAGCCCTAATCCTTTCTAAACTAATGGATAGTAATGGAACCAGAGCTTCAATATTGGAAATTATAACAGTCCTTCGACTTTTTCTCAGAATCCTAATTCCTAAAGAGTGAGTGGCATCATGTCTAATGATCATATAATGCAAATGATGAACCCCTATTTTCTTAAGAATTAACATGCACTGCCCTCGAGACTTTAGCAAATGGTAGTTGATAAGAACTCACAATTAGAAGTAGTCAATCAAATAAAATCCCTATGCTATGATATGCTATTAGAAATACTGGACGAAGCAGATAAAAATAATAAACAACCAACATCTAACTGAGGAAGTGTAATTAAGTAGTCATCTCCTTGTAAACTTAAAATCGTACTTTTTAATCTTATTAGTAGATATAGTTTCAATCAATAATATTCTTGTATCATTCCTCAGTTATTATCCTATCAAGGGGTTTTGGGGTTTTGGGGTTTTGGGGTTTTGGGG